GGATAGGATAGGATAGGATAGGATAGGAAGAATAGAATAGGCTAGAATAGACCAGACTAGAATAGACTAGACTAGACTTGAAAATAGAATAAAAGAATAGGTGAAGAGCAATAAAAATGTCGACCTCAAGCCTCTACCTGCACACATCCCCCCAAAATTAATTAATTAATTAATGCCAATTTGAATAATTATCTTTGCAATGCTGACTTTCAGCACTGATATATAGAATCTGTATGCTGAGTGTGCTGGGTGAACTATACTTACATTGGCAACTTACTTTGAAATGTGAGAATGAATAATGTTTCGTTGGTGGAGAGGAACGCAGGAATGTACACATGACAGGGCCAACACCACAAGATGTTAATTCTACTATTTCAATGGAGGAATATCTATGTGGTCTTTCAACTTTTCTGGATGTATAAAAGTTACATGGAGAATTTAGAGGGGGTAATATATGATATTTGTTAAGAGAAATATATTTTAATATAATAAATACAAAGAGAAATATGAATAATTGCTTGGTAAAAGAAGAAAACACAGTGTGATTTTTTTTACATTTATTGTCAGTCTTAGCGATCTATACATACATTTATTGTGTGTTTGCATACACACATGCATGCCTGTGCATGTGTATGAGCACACATGCCATGGTGCATATGTGGCAGTCAGAAGACAACCAACTGGAGTTAGTTCTCTCCTTCTATTACGTGGGCTCCAGGAATCAAACTCAAGTCATCAGACTTGACTGTAAGCACCTTTACCCATCAAACCACCTCACCAGCTCACAACATGAAATTTATGCTGTAATATTTTTTTTTTTGGTTCTTTGTTTTGTTTTGTTATTTAAAGACAGGGTCGCTCTGTAACCCCAGGTGGCCTGGAACTCCCTATATAGACCAGGCTAGCCTCAGTCTCACAGAGATCCCCCTACTTTTGCCTCCCAAGTGCTGGGATTAAAGATGAGCTTGATCGATAAACATAGTCACAATTGGGCTTGTTGACGGTTGTGCTCATTCATTAAAGGAGTGCCAAGCAGGGTCACTGGGCCCTCACCTGAGTATCCACCCACACTTCCCAGCCAACTAGTCCAGCCTTGGAAGACAAAAGAAAAATGAGGAAGAACCCAATAGAGGGATGCTTTTGGAAGTCCTTGTTAAGAAACTCCAATGGACTCTCACATGAACATTTGAAAATTGCTCTGTTCTGACTTTTTCCTAGTTCCCAGTCTAGAACTTGTAATGCTAATTACTCTTGCCTTCCCTTCTCCTTCACATCTCCCATTCATGATTCAAGGACTTTCTTCTCCCCTTAGAGACAAGAGTTATGCAATCTGGGAGTCTTTTAGATAGACCCACTGAAGGGGTACTCCAATTGTCTCACCCTGCGTCCCTGTTCAGCATGGAAGATGCCAGAGTGGTCTGCATCCCTATTCCCTATTGGCAATCTGGGTAACCCCTTCAGAGGATGGCATGATAAGAATAGGAGGTAGGAATTGGCTAGGCAGTTAGGTTTGAAAAAAAGACCCCAAAGAAATGTAGCCAGTTGCTTGGCTAAAAGTCAAAATGTTTTTTGGCCTGTTAGCAACACACTCTGTTCCAAGGCCAAAAATGTCAAAAGTATTTGAGAGCTTGTATCTAATCCTTAAAAGATTTTAGGGTTACCTCTTCAGAGGGGGGAATGGGGGAGGGAGTGGGCATGGATTTGATCAAAACACCTTAACACCTTATATGCATGTATGAAATGCTCAATAAAGTTATTGTTAAAAAAAAAGAAGTGATTGAAGCCATTTTTCTAAGACCAAAAAAAAGTAAAAATAAAAAGGTGTGCACCACCACGCCTGGGTGATATGCTGTAATTTATACCAAATATTTATGTTCATGCAGCCCTTTGATTTCTTAGTGCAGATGACTTTTAAGTTTTAATGGTTGCAGAGCTTATCATGATGTGATGTGCCCTACACTGTCAGCACTACAAGGGCCAGGGGATGAGAATCTGAGGATCTAATTGCACTCACATTGGTACCTGCTTGCCTTGGACCTGGCACACAAGCATAATTTAACTTTTGTTGAATGAATGAATGATCAATCTAAGGCTCTACACATGGAAATTCCTTAATTCATGTCAGTATTGTTTATATTCAGTTTTGTTTCATGATTTTAATCTGCACGATTTTAAATAATTTTCATCTTGAAATAGTTAATATTTACATTAAAAGAAAAGTCTTAAGATAAGTACTATATATAAAATGATGAACTTTCATATTCTTATTTTTGTGCAACTTTCTTTGAAAATCTCAGGACAGGGCTGGAGAGATGCCTCAGCGGTTAAAAGCACTGATTGCTCTTGAAGCGGATCCAAGTTCAACTCCCAGCACCCACATGGCATCTACAAACCATCCTTAACTCCAGTTACAGGGGAATCTGATGACCTCTTCTGACTTCTGTGGCATTGCATGACATGAGTGCACTCACATACATGCAGGCAATACACTCATACACATAAACTAAAAATAATAAAATACATTTTTAAAAAAGAACATCTCAGAACAATACCTCAACTCTGGACATTTTTTAAACATTGATCCATTTCTCTTTCTGGAACTTGGTGGCAGAATATTTTCTGATGTGATGTTTCTGTTATGTTACTCTTGAGCCATGGCTCACACACCTACATAGTCCAAGTTCTAATTAGGAGCATAACGTTGTGCCATGCTGAAGATTTTAGATTGAATCCCAGTCAAATAAATTTTTCTAAAAACAGCTAACTTTAGTATAATAAGAATAATGTTTCTACATGGTCTCTATACAATATCTTGCTTATCAGGGTGCTAATTTAATATTAATGAAAGTCATTTGTAAGTGAAGATCAGTGTCCCCAAGAACACCCAGGCACTATTTTCTTCCTGTCTCTGTTAAAGACTAAATGCTTGTGACGCACCCCCGCCCCAACTCCAAATATGACACTGTATTTAGGAAGCACCTTTGAGAATGAATCTTGTGCTCTCACGAATGGCATTGGTGTTATATCTTGAGATGGAGTCTCATGTAGCCCAGGTTAGCCTCATACTCTCTATGTAGCTGAGGATGACCTTGAACTTACGTTCCTCCTGCCCCACCTCCTGAATGTTGGGATTTCAGGAATGTGCCACCACATCTGATTTTTGCAGTACTAGAGTTTGAACCCAGGGCTGTGTCCATGATAGACAAGCACTCTACCATCTGAGCTACATCCCAAGCTTCCCATTACAGTTAGGGACCCCCAAAGAGCTCCCTTGACCCATTTGCCATGTGAAGACACAGCCTGAAGTAGGGCTACCATGAACCAGGAGGCAGGCCGCACAAGAAATGAATGTAACCATGAACCAGGAGGCAGGCCGCACAAGAAATGAATCTACCAGCACCTTGATCTTATACTTTCCACCTCCAGAATTATGAGAAATAAATGTCTTAATATAAAAAGCATAAGCCATGTAGTCAATGGCATTTTTGCTCTAACAACTCTGAGGGGAAGATACTCTATTAGACTAAGATGTCCTCTGAGCTCTTAGTCCTGGGTGACTCAGCCTTCACTTACCTTTTCAAAGACAGGAAGATAAAGTTTTCTTGCTTTCTTTTTGATCTGGGCAAGGCTTGCATCTTTCTCCCCAAGTGGAAGGAATGGGTAATGGATAATCATTTCATTCAAATCTGATATACCTTCTGTATACATGTCAATCCTGAAAGAAAAGAAAACTGTCAAATACTTCTGCCGTGCCTCATATTGTTGTTTAAAAACCTAAGAGAATAGCGTATCAAATAGTGGCAAAATAAACTACCCTCAGTGGGGGCCTCTGACTTTTACTTATAGGTTTGCTTCATTTCTTAGTGTACAGGGGAGATAAACTATGTGAAACTGTGTTATTCACATGACTAAATACAGGTAGAAAGAGCACCAGCAGTCCCACCAGGAGCCCATACTGAGAGAACTTGGAGTTTGTTACCACTGACCCTATGAATAATAGGGTTTGTTCTATCTGCTGTGGCTTCTCCTGCACCACACAGAGACTCCTTTGGCTTAAGCTCTGCCTGTTAAGGATGCTCAAGGCAGAGTCCCTAGCACAGTTGCTGAGGCATGCCACTGGTCCTCTCTAATCCTATTACATAATTAGGGACATTTTCATTCCCAGGGTTGTGAGTGCTCCCCATTCTTTCCCATAAAAATGGTTTCACAGCCCTTCACTGTTGTCCAGTTCTACCCATGTTTGCATTTCTTGAGTCCCCACCTAAAATAGCCCCTTACTAGGCACAATTCTTTATGTTTACAACAAGTACATATTACAGGAAACATTGAATGAAATTTGAAATGATCTTTCTAAACCATTCTAAAAAATAATCACTTTATTCATATATATTCACAACCATAATTGTTACCCAACTATACTATTCAGTGCTTTCTAGTATATCACTGAATTCTGCAAATAACAGCATTCTCCAATCCCAGAACACTTTCCACATTGGGTAATAATAACCCCTCCCACCAACTCCATAAAGCTTCTAATTTGCTTTCTGTCTCTATGTATTTTGAGTCTTCTGGGTATTTTATACAAAAGAAAACACACATTTTCTTTTGGGGGTCATTTGCCATTTGGGGTCTATTATGTAACTTGTCAAGGTTCACTGAGGTTGTAGCATGCACCCCTCTGTGTAGCAAATACCCTGCAATGTGTGATTACAGAATGTTTTCCTCATCCATTCACCTGTTGGACATTTGACTTACTCACACTTTTCACTAGTTATGGACAATGCAGCTATGATCACTTTTATATATGTATAACCAAGGATGCATACTCATTTCTCATAGACGCATTCCTCATAGAAGTGCTGGGTCATTAGTAACTCTATATTTAATTTTTTAAGAAACTGCTTACAATTCCATGTAAGAACTTATTTTCAACAAGCAATTCCATCACAAGAAGGAAGGACCTCATCCTCAGCTGTGGTGTTACTGAATCAGCTTGTCTTTAGTTCTATGTGAAGTAGTTCTGGTAACACTAGCCTCTTAGAACCAAGCTCTAACAATCCTCATCAAGTTGATGATATATATAAAGTTAGATGGCAACTTAGGTGCCTCCCACCATCTTACAATTTCTGGAACTTAAGAATAAGGTCCTTTGGTTCCTTCTCTTTGCTTTCATCTTGAGATATTCTAATGAGTCCCCTTGTCCTAAGACAACACTACAGCCTTGCCTCTAAAGACTAAACAAATGGAAATAGGATTCCACCATCTCCTGAGTTATAGTTTCTTAGTGTTTTCAAACCTCTATCACTGTGCTGCATCCATGAGCGGCACCCTGCTCTATAATCCCAGTACTCTAAGTGGAGCCAAGTTCCCTCTTCCCCCTCCACAGGACATTCCCATATTGACATCAGTGGAAATGCCCAGCAGGAAGCTCTTCATGATCTCCCTACCATGGCTATGCTGACTCAACATGTAACTTAAGTCTTTCTAATGTTACCTATTCATAAGTACAATAAATTTATCATACAGGGCTCTCTCCTTCATGTCCTTCCCGTAGAGGTTGTATTTGGAGGCAATGTAGTTCAGAATGGCTCTGGTCTGCGCCAGCTTCATCCCGTCAATCTCCACCATGGGCACCTGCCAGAACATCAGATCCCCATCTTTTGGAAGAAGGAAGAAAAAGGAAAATGAAATGCCTGTAGTTCAGATACATCAAAAATGAGTTCATTAAAATAACCAATGATAGAAGAGGAAAAATATTGCTTGGCAGTCTTTCACATAAAATAGCGTTTTATTTTTTCTTCTTATTCCTTCTTTTCTTTACCATTTTTCTTTTCCTTTTAGCTTGATGTTTAACATTGATGTTTGCCCCTATCCAGATATACTCTTGGTTCCTGTATTTTTTAATTTACTGCATTTTCATAGATATTTTAGAAGTTAAGGAGGACATAACAAAGCAATCACCTGATGTCGTTCAACATAAAATGTTCCTTATTTCAAGGTCAGTTCACAGAGAGGGATGTCCATGTAGGGCCTCTGTATGTTGCCCCACTCATACCCTGGGACAATGTGTGCCAGGCTCTTTGTCCCTATTCACAACTCTGCCCTTTCTCTTCCTCCTTACACTTTCACCTAGACTTTCAAATAATTCAACACTGTCTCCTCATCAACCTACACTATTACTGAGTAATCACTTTTAAACGCCTGTTAGAGAATGCAGCTCAAGTGCTGGATCTACTTTTCTTCCTGACCCTGCATATGCTTGGATGAAGGGTACTGTGGAGTCCTGAGCTGGCTACAGTTAATTAATTCTGGTGCAGAAAGCATGAAAAGGCAGAGAAAAGTATCCCCAGGATGCCTTAGTAAATACTGAGAGAGATCTAGCCCCTTTAAGTCTTGAGAGAATTCCCAGATCTGCTCAAAGAGCCCTACCCTGTACAGTTTACCACTCAGCCTCAACACCATCCTGTGAACACCCTACAATGTACAGCTAGAATCCATTATTTAAACATACTGCTAAGAACGATGCTCAGAGGCACATAGATATTAATTCTTACCATTTTTTAATTTTATCAAGTCATGTTGAGTTTTAATATATTTTTCTTCAAACTGGAAAGCAAAAACAGTACAAGAGTTCTTGTTAAAATCATACCACTGCATGTTAGCCTTTTCAACATGATGTCTCCTGTGTATACAAAGTAGGAGAAAAAGGTTTTAGTTTGATAGGGACACTGATAAGCTGATCTCTACCATGCAGAAGTCTATATTAGTTCTATCTGAGAAATGTCAGAGGAACATCACATACCTGCTCATTGTAGGTCACCTCTACCATGACCATACCTACCTCCATGACTAGGTCATGGCTGTGGAGGAATTCCATTAGAGGGCAGAGGCTGAGAATATCTTACTGCCTATATCTGAGGAAAGCCTGTGTCTCCAAGTGAGGTGAGAACAGAACCTTCTGTGTCTCCACCATGGGATAGTTCATGGACTAATAGACATCAAACTTTCTGCCACCAAGGGGCCTCTGCTTTAATTGACACCACTCCATTCTCCAGGGGCTGAAATGGTCCTGGTGGTTATACAGCTTTAATACTTAGAGCAATTGGTATATAATTGTTTCCTCTGGAAAAGATGAAACATGCTGCAATAGAATTCAAATTTAAGGACAAAATCAAAGAGTTATGACCTAATATTTTTCTTTGAAAATAAAACTACCTTTGAAATAAACTACCTTTGGCTTTTGATATGACTGTGTGAGTTGAAATGGTATTTTCAGAAGATGACATTGACTTTGGATACATGACTATACTTCTTTATGTCGCAGTAGCCTAATACGTACTTATAATACCTATGTTTTAAGTTGGTATAGGAAGTAAGTCAGTATACATGTATAAACTTAGGAAAGTTCCAGGTGTCTACTAAATGTTCAATAAATTGAAAGGTAGTTGCTACTTCATCACATAATGCTCTATTTTTTTTCTCTAAATCATCTAATATTAATGAAAATGTAGCTTAGTCTTGATCTTCACTAAGTGATTTAAATGTCTTGAGGCAAAGTCACATCGGGAATGGCAGCCAGTAGCAGAAATGTCTCTATCCGAACAGAAGTTCTGTGTGGTCACCCTTAGTGGAATGCAAAGATGAAAATCAGTTTTACATAATACACATTATTTAGTAGGCTGACTCTCTATCCAACCAAAAGTTCATGGAGACAGCCATCAAGAAATTTGGGCTTTGATGCTCATATATTTTGGTTTCAACTTAGGCTTTGTCTCATACAAGCTATGGGATCTGGGCACAGTCATTGCATCATCAAGCCTTCAGCTGCTCATCTTTAAAATAGGGGCAGAGGATTTCCCTTAGAAGACTACTGTAATGTTTCCAAAATGCAGTATACAGGGCCAGACCCAGATAAGCCAAGTAATAAGCAATACTGGTGACTGGAATAGCTATGATACTTTTATGGAGTTCTTTATGGTGAAAAGTTACAATTTGGAGGTTTTCTAGCATGCTCTACGGAACATTATTTTGTAATCTACATAATCACATATATCACATACAGAGACACTACAGGGCTGTGTGCCATTAGTTTGCCAGTGTTCATTGAGGAAAAACAAAAAGGACATGGTGGTCATAGCAAGAAGATGGCTGAAGTGGGATGGGGTTGGCTCGTGATGTTGATGGTGAGGGTGACAGTGAGGGTGTGGCTGTAATTATCAGCCATTTGGCATCAAGAACCCAGAAGGTCTAGCACAGATCTTCAGGTAATCCTGGCCAACATTCTCTTCTATCACCCTGGGATGGAGAACAGGAAGTCTTAGGCTGTTAACATGGCTTGTATATTTTTCCACTTACTTAATTTGTTCCTTGACAGTTTCACATATGTATGTAATGCATACTGATCCTCTCGTCCCCTACCCTCTCCTATCTCCCTACTACCCCTGTCTACCCCTGCAAACCTGCCGCTCCTTGAAAATCTCTTGGTCACATCTATTCGTTTTGTTTTATGATCCATTGAGTTTATCCAGGGCCAACTATGTGACCATGGGTCTGGAGTTATCCACTGGAGCCTGGGTGGGCTCAACAATTGGTATAAAGCTGAAGATAGTGACTCCTCATCTCCCAGAGTCGAACAATAACCAATAGTATGACAATAAAGTGTAGGGCTCCATGACTCTCTCCTCTTTCTATGATTGACTGCTGACAGAAAGGTCTTTATGCTGCCCACAGGCTTAGAACATACTCCTGAACCACAGGGCTGGCATCTAGACTGTGATGAAAACAGATTATTCATTTATAAAAGGAAAACAACCTCTGATGGCACTGTAGTCTTTGTTTATCATGTGTTTGTTTCTTCATGAAATTGAGAAAGGATCAGGCCAAAGTCTATGCATTCATGAAGCAGTAGAGAACACACAATTCCAAGAGTTAGATAAACTCAATGTTATGAGAATGAAAGAAGGGCACTAGAAGTTACCCTAAAGGGATAGAGCCTCGCTCTTTAACCTCTTCTATTTCTATATGGCAGGCAAGATCTCCTGAGAGTATCCAGGACTTTCAAGAAACCCTCACACAATTGCTGCACCCTTCTGGTCTGTATGGAGAACTGTTTCTTCCTAAGACATCTCTAGAGGGTGGCACTCATAGTCCAAAGATCCTTAACAGATTCCTGCTCAAGCAATAGGAATCCTTTCAAACATCTTTTTTATTGAGCTTTTTAAAGTCATACTCCTCCTTACCCAGCAGCAATCAGTCTCAAATAGTTCTCAATCTAGTGCTGACCTGCCACCTATTTCTCACCTCCCCTTTGGGCCCTTCTTTAATTGAGCTGCTGACATGCACTCGGCCTTTGATGCCACTGCTGCAGCAGGCACACATGAGCAAGACTCCAGTGTCCTGGAAGCCTACACCTCCTTATGTTCATGAACAAGCCCTGGCTCTTACAATCTTTCTGCCTCCTTCCTCTTCTGCAATAGTTCCTGAGTTGTGGGTAGGTGAGGTTCCATATAGGAGTCCCATCCTACAGTCTACAGTCTCTTATTCTCCAAAACTTGGTCAGTTGAGACGTTCTGTGTATATCACACTCTGATGTACATGGAAGCCTCACTGGTGAGAGTTAAGGTGTGTATTATCCCTCTCTCTACCCCTTATTCCTCTATGTTCCATGAGCCTTGGTTGTAGAGATTCTACTACAGATGTGTCACCTAGTACTGGGCATCTCCCAAGTGTATGTTCTCTGTACCTGACCAGATGTGCAACTCTGTAGTAGCCTCCATCTATTGCAAAAAGAAGCTTCTTTGATGAGTGCTGTATGGCATGTTTGTCACTCTAAGGGAGGTCTCTTCTGTCTTACACTGCATTCCCTTCCAAGCAGTTCCAGAGTCCTGGCTGAGCTTGTCTGTCTGTCTGATCCAGAGACTGGGAATTTGGCAGTGAGGGGACTGCCTGGGTGAGGACTTAGAGGTCTATGGTAGGGTGATTGGTTCATCTGATTTAGGAAGTTAGTCCTGGGATTTGGGATTAAGGAATTAGAGCCAGCCTGTGAGAGAGGCTGGTAAGGGACAGAGTGTGGGTGGATGAGAGAAATGTGGTAGGGAGGCAATGAGCTTGATCTGACTTACCAGAGTCCTGGCTGAGCAGGTCTGTCTGCCTGATCTGGAGGCTTGGAATTTAGCGGTGAGAGGACTGCCTGGGTGAGGGCTTAGGGATCTAAGGTAGGGTGATTGGTTAATCTGGTTTGGGAAGGTAGTCCTGGTATTTGGGGTTAAGGAATTAGAGCCAGCCTGTGAGAGAGGCCTACAGGGTCAGGGATGAGAGGAATAAGGTAGCTAGAGCCTGTGGAGAATCCCTTTCAAATATTTGATCACAGCCTAGATACCTATGCTGCTCATCACAAAGACTCTGTCTGCCTTTTTCAACCCATATTCTTAGGACCTAGCACAGAACTGGCACTTAATAGGTGATGTAGAAAATAACTGCTGAATGAACGTGTCTATGGTTAACAGGTAGTTATGATCCCTTCTACCTATCTCTCATTTATGCTGTAATGGTGGTTTGAATGAGAATGTCCCCCATAGGCTTCAAGTATTTGGACATTTTGTCCCCAGCTGGTGGTGATTTTGGGGGAGGTTTTAGGAGGTGCACCCTTGCTGGAGGAGGGCTTTAAGAGTTCTTAAGCCCTGCTGAATTTCCTATCGCTCTCTGCTTCCTGTGCCTGCTTGAAGATGTGATCTCTCGGCTTTCTGCTCCAGCCACCTTTGCCGCCATGCCTCCCCTGCCATTAAGGACTCTTGCCCCTCTGGAACCATAAGCCAAATAATTTGTTCCTTCTACACGTTGCCTTGGTCATAGTGTCTTACCACAACAACAGAAAAGTAACTAATACAACTGTACTTTTTCACTGTAATTGCATTCTTTCACAAACATTGTACATTTTAATACTTTTGTTATGGAAATTTGTGAAATATATAAATATACAGAAAAGTACAATGCTGTTCTTTCCATCCACATATACTTTCAATCATCATCCCAAGCCAGCAGGCTTTTATTACATGCCCCACCTTTCTCCTTTTGTGATAACTTGAAAGAGTTCCAACAACCAACGGTGCACTGTCATAGTTACCATTACAATGCCTTAGTCAAACATGTACTACATCCCACACAAAGATCATCCCATTCGATGACAGTAATGCAGAATATTCCTATAGCTTAGTGAACAGACAGTCAAACAAGAGAAGAGAATAGAGAACTGCAGAAAAGAATCACCAAGAAGAGTCATGGAGAAGGGTGTAGTAGAGCGTCTGCAGACCTTTAACAAGCTCCAAATAACTTTGAAACACGAACTTCAACATGGAAAACTTTCATTAATAAATGGAAAAAAATATTCAAACCAAGAAATCCATCTCAGACACATCTCTGAAAAGAGTAGCATGTTCTCAAGGCTAGCCTTGAGCAGATCCCTCAGTAGTGGTTCCAAAAGAAGATGTCGTTTTCATAGGAGATGATGGATCCATGCTTGTTACTGTTCCAAAGATCTTCCAGTGGGACAAGATGTGGAGGTGGAAGACAGTAACATTGAAGAGGAAGACCCTGTGCAGGCCCAAACTAATGTGCATCTCAGTTCTTACTTTTTAGTAAAAATGTAAAACAAATAAATAAATTTAAAAGTTTATAGAATGAAAATGAAATAAAATATTATTTTATAGCTATACAATATACTTGTGTGTTTAAAATTTTTATTTTTATTTTTAACTATGTGTATATGGCGGTATATGCACGTGAGTGCAGGTGCTTGCAGAAGCCATTAAGTGTCAGATCCCCCACGAGCTTGAGTTACAGGCAATTGCGAGCTGCCCAAAAAAGTGGCTGGGAATTGAACTCAGGTCCTCTGGAAGAGCAGTACATGCTCTTAACTGCTAAGCTACCTCTCCAGTCCAATAACATATTTGTGTTTTAAGTGTTACTTTAAAAAATTAAAATCCTAGCTGGGTGTGGTGGCGCACACTTTTAATCCCAGCACTCGGGAAGCAGAGGCAGGAGGATCTCTGTGAGTTCGAGGCCAGCCTGGTCTCCATGGTGAATCCAGGACAGCTGGGGCTACAGGGAGACCCTGTCTCAAAAAGACCAAAAAAAAATTAAAATCTTTTTTAAAACTAAAAGTTTATATCCAGGCACAGTGGCACACACCTTTAATTCCAGCACTCAGGAGGCAAAGGCAGGCAGATCTCTATGAGATCAAGGCCAGCCTGGTCTGCATAGCGAGTTCCAGGCCAGCTGGGGCTACATGGAGACCCTGTCTCAAAAAGACCAAAAATAAATAAATAAATAAAAGCATATAAAGAGCTGTAGCAAGTTAGGGATAATTTTTAAAGGAGAAAATCTTTATATAAATTTAGTATAGCCTGTAGTATAGTATGTGGACAGTCAGTTTTCTGTTATTACAGAAAATATCTGATCTTAGATAACCACCTTTAAAAAGAAGAAAAGGTTTACTTTGGCTTATGGCTTCAGAAATTTCAGTCCATGACCAGTAGCTTCATTGTTTTGGGGCCTATGGTAAGGCAGAAAGAACATCATAGTGGGATGTGCATGGTGGGACAAACTGCTCACCTCATAGGTGTCAGGATACAGAAGGACAGAAAGGGGTTGAGGTCCCAATATCCCCTTCAAGAGCACATCCCTAATGACAATTTTCTCCAACTAGGCTCTACCCCTTAAAGGTTCCACCACCTCACCATAGTACCACAGACTGGAAACCAAGCTTTTAACACAGAGAGCACATTTCAGACCCAAACTATAGCAGAGTTGATGTCCTAGGCTTCACATCCACTCACCATTCACTGATAACTCACTCAGAGGAATTTGACTATTAAGCCCTGTGCATGGTAAGTGCCTTATATAGATGTATCTTTTCTTATCTTTTTATAATATAGCTTTACTGTTCCTTTTCTATGTTTAGATATATTTAGATATATACTGTTTTAACAACTACCTACAGTATTCAGTACTGTAGTATAGTAGCTTGCTATGTAACTTTGTAGCCTAGGAACACAGGCTATAGTATATAGACTTGGTGTGTAGTAGACTATAACCTCAAGTTTTATCTAAGTATACCCCATGATGTTTGCACAGTGAAACTGATGCGTGAACTCTGGTGAGATGGCTCAGTAGGTAAAGGTGCTTGCCGCCAAGCCTAATGACGAGTTCTGTCTGTGGAACCGTCATGGTGGAAGGAGAGAAGGCACTCTTACATGTTATCCTCTAGTTACCACACACACCCTGTGGCATGTGCACATACAGACACACACACACTAAATATATAGATTAATAAATGTATAAAATTATAAAAAAGAAATTGACAAATGATATATTTTTCAGAACATACCCCTACTATTAATAAACACATTACTGTATTTCATACTTCAATAATTTGAGTTGCTTCTCTAAAACATGGGAATTATGTGATAATAACTAGAATATATGATTGCAACAAAAACAATAATTTAATAGCAAAAATACAGTATTCACATTTTAATTGCTGTCTAAATGACGCAAGTTATTTTTAGTTTGTTTAAATCCAAGTAAATTCTATAAATTGGTCATGTTTCTTACATTTATTCTAGTGCTTATGGTCCTTGATGTAAAGAAAGATTTAACAACACCATAGGTCATATCTACAAATCTCTTAATAACTATATCAAGCCATAACATTTAATAAATCATTCAGTAAGAAGTATCACCTGGTTATATGAGAAAAGTATGTGATTCAGTCCATTTAAGTCCAACTTAAGGTGGCTGAACTTGAAACTCACCTCTACTCCAACTGCAGCCAAGAGCCAGCGGACAGACTCCATCCTGCCTCGTGAACTGAAGTAGTGAAGGATGGGCTTACTCGCCATGACAGCAGGCTCTCTAAACATGAATGCATAAAACAGACCTTATTTAAAATGTTACTTTTTTGAGGCTGAAGAGATGGCTCAGCAGTTAAGGGCACTGGCTGCTCTTGCAGAGGACCTGGGTTTGAATTCCAGCACCAACATGGCAGCTAACAACCATCCATAACTCCAGCTCCAGAGGAATTCAGCGCCCTCTTCTGACCTCCACGGGCATTACACAACACAGGTACATGTACATACATGCAGGCAATATACTCATATTCACAAAATAAAAAATCATATACAATTTTTTTATTTTTTAGAAGCAGCATTTCATTACAGCTTTAACATACTCAATAACAGTTTCCAGAGTAAAGATACATCTCTTTCAAAAGTGGTTATAAAATTTTTAGATTCCCTGTTGAATTAATACAATATACAATATTGAATTCAGTATAAGCCCTGTAAGACATAAAATTGAATGAGTTTTTAACCTTTAAAAAAGATCTCCATTTCATTTTAAAATATAGTTTCTTACAGACTCATCGCTTTTACTAATAACACTGAGATGTTGGCACATGCACTTCTAATCTGTATATATCTGATTATTACTAGTCATAATTGGTTGCACTCAGATCCTTGGCATGTATGTATGTCTATAAAGTTTGTGTTATTTAATGATGGATGGTTAATAACACCAGCTACATAGAAGTATCCTCCTTCCTTATGGCAGGGTTGGAGTAGTTCCTGGGTCCTTGGTCCAAACTGTTACCCATTAGCAATCACCTTTAGAACTGCACCAAATCAGTCTCAGATCCTCCATGGTTAAAATAGTGTTCTTGGCAGGCTAAATGACAGTGTGTAGTCATCCTGTGTGGAAATTAGTGGGAAAAAATGCAAAGAACAAAAATTTATTGAAAATCTCTTAATGCTCCCAGTTTCTTTTGACAAATTCTGCCTTTATTGTTCATGACAGATCCATAAAGTGGCTATCTCTACTTTTCAGTTAATGAAACTGAATGTCAGAGAGTTAAGCTCAATGTCTATAGCCACTCTAAAACCAATGATAGACATGAAAAAATCACAGTGGGGACTAGAAACAAGGAGGGTTTGTAACATGGAGAGGTGAAGGCCCTGGGAGCTTGTCAGAGCCTGGAAGTCAGGGGACGTGCCTGACAACAAGGACCAAAAAGCAGCAGAGTTGCTGTTCAGCCATTTGGCTGTTAGGCTACATTTGATCAAAAACAAAAGTGAGGACTCCAGAATTGCTCAGTTGTAGCTCAGGGGATTCAAATTCATTCCACAAGGGCTGCTAACCCTTGCTCCTTCAGTCTCTGTGCCCCACTGTCGGGAGTTATTAATCCATTATGTACATAAGCTGTGGCAGGCTTGTTTACTGAGTTTGTGTTTTGCACACCAGTACCTAATCTGCCAAGTCAGGAGGATTGTGTTTATATGGTGGAGCTCACAAAACAAGTATCTGACCGCTCCTTGACCCTCAGATACAGGTGGGAAAAACAGCTGTTGAAACTAATTGAGTTCTTCTGTATAAAAAGGCTGAGCTGAACTAAACCGGGGCTGCAGTCTCTACTGACAGTCCTCCCAAGTATCTTTTCTGTCTCTTGTTTTTTCTTTCAATCCTCACTCCCCCTTTCAGGTACTGTCCATCTTGGTTGGCTGGCCCCAGCACCCCACCTCTACTGTTTGTAAGTCCTTGTATAATTGAGTAAAAAGGATATTGCTAACTTTAGATTACAGTATATAAAAGGGACCCAACCTTTAATGTCAGTCAATACTGGGTATTCTCACAAATTTGTCTTCATTTTACCCTTAAAAAAATCTAAACGAACTTGTTGTAGTAGTTTTATTTTATAGTTATAGAGTGTTTTCTACAGTAGCTTACCCAAATGAGATGCTATTCCAGAGGTTCAAGCTCACTTCTATTCAAAATCAAAGTCTGAGTCTTACCTTTATATGTCAGTGTTTTTCAAAATATGTATAGCAACCCTTCAGTTGACTGTGAAATTTACCAATTTATGTATGTGGTACGTGTGTGTGTGCACGCGTGCACGCGCACATGCGTGCACATGCATATGCTATGGCATGCATGTGGAGTCATAGGATAAACCTGGATGTTGGTCCTTGCCTTCTATCTTCTTGATATTGTTTATCTTGTCTATTGCTGCATGTACCAGTCTAGCTGATCTGTGACCTTCTGAAGATTCTCCTCTATCAGTCTCCCATCTCCTGGTAGAGGAGAACTGGGCCTACAGACTCTTTGTTTTCTGTACTGTGATAAACACCATGACCAGAAGCAACTTGGGGAGGAAAGGGTCTATTTCACCGTATAGAGACCAGAGAGGAATACTGCTTACTGGCTTGCTCTCAGGCTCAAGTTGAGCTTCCTTTCCTAGACAGCTCAGGCCCACAGTTGACTGGCCCCTCCCATATCAAATAGCACTGAAGAAAATGCCCCTCAGACATGCCCACAGCCCAATCTGAAGGAGGAAATTCTTCAGTTGAGGTTTCCTCTTCCCAGGTGCATCCAGGTGATCACCAAAATTAGTCATCACCCTCGTGTTCTACTGGATCCAGCTTTTATGTGGGTTCTAGGGATCTGTACCCAGATCTTGAGGCTTGTATGGCAAGTGCTTTACCTATTGAGTCATTTCTGCACCAGTGTTTTTTTTTTAATGAAATAGAAAAGGATAGGAAACAACAGATGCAATAAAGCAAACATTTGATGTGCCTTTAGCTTCAGTTATATGCACACTGCATGCATATGTGCACATGTGCATGGTCACTTAGTTATTTTAACTGGTTATATATATAGACTAAGCCCAGTCAAGGAAGTTTGATAGCCTTTGCTATCTCAGGCTGCTTGGGAAGTAGAACACAAATCAGAGCATGAAAACTGAAGGTTACTGGGATGGGCATGGCTAATGGGATCATGAATGTAAATCGAAGCATAAAAGAGGCATTGAAAATAGGAGTCCTAAAGCTAAGACTTATGGATAACACATTTTTCTCTTCAAATCTGAAGCTCTTTCATAAAAAGTATTAAGTTGAGATTTGTATTTAACAGATCTGGATTTAAATATGTATATGGCATGATATGGATTTAACAGCTCTCTATGCATAGCATATAAATCTATATATAACATGTGATATATAACATACATGTATGTGACATGAAAGCAGAAGGGGACTACTTGGGAGGTCCTAGGGAGGTGGAAAGAGAACAGTTGAGGGGGCAGGTAAGTGTAATGAGGGGCAAATATAAGCAAAATACAAAGACATACATATATATATGCAAGTCTCCTAATGAAACTCATTATTTTGTTTGCCAACTAAAAGTTAAAGGGTATTTTATTTTAAAAGGTTATTCTCACAAAGTTTTTTTTAGTTACAAGCAATAATATATTGCCTTTAACTATATATTTCTGAAAAAAATATATATAACTTTAATTTTAGAGATCCAAATGTTTTAAATATACACATTTAAAAATGTTGAACTTGGGGCTGGAGAGATGGCTCAGTGGTCAAGACTCAGCCTCGATTCCCAGCACCTCTATGGTAGCTAACAACCATCATTGGTAACTCCTGTTCCAGGGGATCCAACGCCTTCTTGTGACCTCCATGAGCATTGCCCAACACGGGTGTACTTACACACATGCAGGCAATACACTCATATACATAAAATAAAAATAATAAAATATGTTTTAATGTAGAACTCAAAAAATCTAACCTTAATAAAATAAAAAATTCTTTGCAAACCTAAATTCACTCATTATTGTAGAGTGTGTATATGTTACCTTCTTATCAGGGAAATGGGGACAATATTTAGCAGAGGGAACATTGCTTGAAGTGCAGATAACTGTTCAGGACACAGAGCCAAGGGATGCAAATCCTTACACTACCTACGGCTCAGGTATCCCTGAATGAGGATCATGTTATAAAGGGAAATGAATTTTAATCTGACATAAAATGCCCTTCTTTGTAACTTTGTTTCTGAAAATAGGGTTTCCAAAGGCCAGGTCAAAACTAGGATAAAGGTTACCATCAGGTTTTGTTGGGTCAACAAAAATTGAGACCAAGGGAGAGGAATGATTTGCTGTGGGTGTAACAGTCACTCCTCATTCCAGGTAGGAAGGAATACCTGCCTCTCCACAACCATCCTGGAAACAGCCCCTGGCATCCCATTTACACAAGATTGCATTAAGTTCAGAGAGAAACAACTAGCCCATTGCTCTCACACTGAGCACCAGGCTCTCCACTCCCCCCTGCGCTCCAGTCTACTCTCCGAGGACCTCTTCCATGTTTTTCCAGTCAGGGTTCTTCAGCCAAATAAGGGCTCGTAGGGGAAGAAGCAAAGGGAGCATCTAATTCATGACTACCTTTCTGTAAGTAGCTTTCCATGGGCTTGGTAGGAAGACCTTATAAATGTCCACTGTTGTACCTCAACAACTTAATACCACTGAATGAACTGAAGAATAAAAGAACTATATTTTCCTCATTAAGAAAGCAGGGCTTGGGGCTGGAGAGATGGCTCAGTGGTTAAGCACACTGGTTGTTCTTGCAGAAGACCTGGGTTCAAATCCCAGCACCCAGATGGCAGCTAACAACTTTCCGTAACTCCAGTCCCAGGGGAGCTGATAGCCTCTTCTGACCTCCACCGGCATTGTACAACACGGGTGCACTTACCTACATGCAGGCAATACATGTAAACACATAAAATAAAAATAATAAATAAAATTTTTTAATTGTTTTCTGACCTCCACACAAACCTCATGGCATGAATGTGCTTCCCCAATAAGTAAATAAAATGTAAAAAATGTTATTACTTGTAGAGGACCCCAGGTCAGTTCCCAGTACCCATAAGGTGACTAACAACCATCTGAAACTCCAGTTCCAGGGGATCCAATGCCCTCTTCTGGAAATAAATCAAAAAGATTTACTGGGTTTGGGGAATACAACTCAATGGTAGGACACTTGCGTACCACCTGAGGCCCTAGATTCAATTTCTAGCACCATAAA